AAGGCAAGTAATGAATTGTGCTTGCACACATCAATCTAATTAATTGGCTTTTAAGTAATTAATTAACAAGTCAATAAGCTGATCTAAAGCAAAACTTGTAAAAGTAAGGAACATGAACCCACGCTGGTTAAGCAGCCGATTAGATCTTTGCACCTGCAAAATTCTGGTTTCTTCCAAATCCTACCACATCATGCTCACCAAAACCTGACCTAATTAATATCCAAACAAACTAATTATATACATAATTTATTAAGTAGAGACAGATAAATTAAATATGAGATCATAGTTGAGTATGGATGGCATCATGCAGCAGGCAATAAGAGCAGTTAAATTTGAAAAAAGATAAGGTGGGTGATATCATTTTCATATTGGAACTGACCTCAAAACAGAAAGAAAGAACGAAAGAAACGAAAGAAAAGAAAATAAACTAAAAACAAAGAAAGAAAGAAAAAATAGGCACCGCCCAATCGAACAGTGTTTTCAACATATATTTTCAGCAGAATATATGATTACTTGGGATTGTGTTGTGTTCTGTTGTGGTGTATATATGCTTCCATCAAATCAATCCTTCTTTAGCTTTGATTCCTCTAAATAGCTGCGTTTTGCTTTTCCTTCCTTTCACACTCATTGCTCAATCAAAACACAACCAAAAGGCGTGCGTGTATTATTCAAGTTAGAGTAGTGCTCACGATTAACATAAGCAATAATGAGATAGAAGGAGGGAAAGCTATCCGTTCCCGATCTCTTGCAGTCAGATCTTTCAAAATCATATGAATTCTTAGTTAGAATGTCATTCTGACGCGGTGTGAACTCAATAACTCTAATTAAATTAGAAGTTTGAATTTTATAAATGGAATAATTAATCACATAAATTATAAGAATGACCTATATTTATTTATGAATGTAATTAAACATATACTCTTCCGGTCCTTAATATAGGACCCAATTCTTGAGTTGGTTTTGGTCCTAAATATAAGACCCATTTCTCGTATTTATCAATGTTCTCTAAATTACCCCTATAGATACTCCCTTAATCATAATCAAGTAGAAAAGGGAGAGGAGGTATTAAGAAGGATGATTATGATATTTTAGGAAAAATGTGTCACTTTTTTTTATAATTAACTAACTTACCTAACTTCCTTAATCTAATCAAATTAGTTAAATGGGTCTTATATTAAGAACCGAAGGAATACAATTAATTATTAAATTTATAAATATAATTGTAAAAAATTGAGATCCATTTTAAAGGGAAGGTGATATGAGGAGACTTGATAGTCTACTCAGTTGACAGCGTTCAAAAGTTTTAGGGTACCAAAAGAGGCTGAGACACAACATGATTCAATAATATCATGCAATTCATTATGATTATGCTGCTACATGACTAAGATACATTTGGTTGACGTGGATGTGACAGAGGCGCTATTAGCTTATCTCATCCTGACTTACTTATTACATCATATATATATGTGCGTGTGTATTTATACAAATTTCCCCTTTTAATTTCTTTATTTTATCCCCAATAATTGCTGTAAAATAATATTTTATCTAGTTTTTAATATAAGATCCGGTTGACTAATTCGACAAAATTAAAAAAAGTACTCCTCCGATCCTTAATATAGGACCTAATTGTTGAGTTGATTTTGATCCTAAATATAATATCTATTTTTCATATTTATCAATTTTCTTAAATTATCCTTATGAATACTCCCTCAACCATAATCAAGTAAAAGATAGAGAAATGATATTATGAAGATAATTATGGCATTTTAGAAAAAATATGTCATATTTCTTATAACTAACTAACTTACCTAACATTTTTAATCTAATCAAATTAGTTACATGGATTTTATATTAAAGACAGAAGGAGTACTAGATGACTAAAGTATACATATGTTACATGATTTCTTTAGAATACTTATGCTTATCACTAGCTTATATATTAATTTATAAGTGAGGCAAATTAATTTGAAGAAAAATAATAAATATAAATATTTTAAAATAATTTAATAACTTTCTTAATCTCCCCTAAATAATCAACTGAATCTTATATTAGGAATAAGAGGTTTGTAAATAAGCACATAACTCCCATAAGTATATTATAGTTTCGTCATAACTCACATGCTTATAATACTTCAAAGATTTTGAACTCACAACTCTATGTATAAAATAACATTAAAAAAAGTATTTGGTGTTAGCTATATTAATTTTGAGAATACATCCTTTCAATTAAATTAGAACAAGCGAATATTTTAGAAGCAAAAAGAATAAGCGAATATTTTATATCGTCATAAACGCATTAGGATATGCCGACAGGCAAAAAGTTGGAAAATAGTAATTTGGATGGATATGATACAGATGTCTCTCCAAATCTTGGGGGCAAAATTTAAAAGATGGTAATGTGATTTTTTTAATATCTATAAAATGATTTTTTTTGGACCAAAGTATCTATAAAATGATTTGCTTTAAGAGATATACTATTTATAGGATAAAGAGGAGACATTTTTTAATCCTATTTATAAAGGATTGAGAGAATTTTTTTGTATGAATGTATAATTTTACCTTTTGTTTATTATTGTGTTGACTTTGTTTGTATGAAGTATAATATATATTAAATAAGGATAAAATTAAAAAATTATTAAATTTTAAATGAGAGTTAATGAATTTTAAGATTTTTTTTAGTTTATATAAAATATATCAGAAGTGACTTATAAATAGAATTAGAAGAGTAAATAATTGAGGAAAATAGCAATAAGAAGCTTCAACTTGTTGGTGGGGACACGGGAAGTACGGCTTGACTTGTGATTGGAGGCTTGTAGCCCAAATTCTGAAAGTGATGGCAGGCGCTCCATTCATGAACCACATGTCCGATTGGGCTTTTTAGGCCGACAAATTAAGTACACTCTTCTTATTTATAAGTCCCGGAAAAAATTTTGTTTATAAATATAAATTATTTATAAATTAATTCATGATTTTTTTTAATTTTACATCTGTTGACTTAAATAAGTGGAAAAAAAAACTATACTATTTTCTTGCTACCCTTCCTTTAACAAAGACGACAGGTAGGAAAAATTATCAATTTACTCCTCCGGTCCTTAATATAGGACCTAATTCTTAAGTTGGTTTTAGTCCTAAATATAAGACCCATTTCTTATATTTATCAATTTTCTCTAAATTACCCTCATGGATACTTCTTCAACCCTAATCAAGTAGAAGAGGAAGATGGGTCATTAAAAAAATGATTATGGTGTTTTAGGAAAAATGTGTCATCTTTCTTATAATTAACTAACTTACCTAACTTCCTTAATCTAATCAAATTAGTTAAATGGGTCATATATTAAGGACCGGAAGAGTAATATATTTTTATATTTACAAGTTTGGGGTAGAGGTGGCTTATAAATAAATGTTTTTTCCCCCCAAACATGTGTTTCCCTATGAGTCATAAGAAGACAAAAGCTTAAGTCAATCTCAGTACCAAAAACCCCCAAATGCTGAATTAGAGCAAGAAAAAAAAGCACATTCGCATACCATGATTTGAATATATGGTTCGAATACATTTAACTCCACGGCAGTGACGCTGGGGGGGGGGGGAGGCTTTCAGACCAATTAAAAATAGTGTTTTAGATTATAGCTACAACTGACCTAAATAAGAACAATTTAGAAAATCAAGTATTTTTCAAATAGGAACGATCTAAAAAAATTCTTTTTTAAAAAACCGGTCTAAAAAAGTTTACTCTTTAGACTTGGTGTGCTCTCTAGTCTAGAGGTTTAAAAAATAGACTTGTTTTAGATGACATGTGAAAAGGAGGTTTATATTACTACCTCCGGTTTTAATTATAAAACCCAATTAACTAATTTAGAGAGATTAAGAAACTTAATTAAGTTAGTTATTTGTAATGAATATGTGTTGTTTTTCTTAAAATATTCTTGATAATCAAGTTTGTTATCCAGAACTACTATTATTAAAAAACCATCTTGAAAAAAATAAATAAATATAAGAGATAAAGTAGATTAGGGTTTTATATTTAGGACTAAAATAAAAATTAAACAAGATCTTATATTAAGAACCAGAGGTAGTACTAATTCTGTACTAGTGGGCATATCTTTTTAATAATTAATTAAAGTACTAAGGCCAAAGGCCCTGCAAATATGCTTACATAGTTACATATATGTCCGATTATTCACAATAATTTGACAGTTTCTCCATTATTTTGGATATATGAGATGAGTTAAATTGTCTGTACTATATGAATTAATTATTCCATAAGTTTTATACTACTCTTTTCATTCTAAATATAAGACCCAATTTGTAATATAATTTACACTATAAAATGGATCTTATATTTAAAATAAAAGAAAGTATATAAATATATATATATATATATATATAGAGAGAGAGAGAGAGAGATAATATAGTGATAATACGCTGGCGAAACAGAAAAGAAAAAAAGATAGTGATAATAATCTTACATACATCTAAGTCCGCAGACCACAGGCACGCGTTGGCATATAACTCCTTTGTTGGGCCGCTTGGAAACTTGAATTAACAATATTTTCAAAATATATGAAAAAGGTTTTGTGCTAATAAGTGTTTATTAATCATAAATTCAAGAGGGTGTTTGGATAAAAACTAAATTATGATTTTAAAAGTGTTTTTATATTTTACAAAATAAATATATAAAAAATTTATCTCGTTTTACTGAAAAATATTCCTGAACAGCTCCCGAGTTTCCCATCCATTAGATTTCAAAGTCTGAAACTTTGTAGGTCGTGCCAAAGATTTTGGACACATATGGGCGAAATCATCCTTCTAAACTTGAAATTAAGTTCGGTATTAATGGGAAAAAGTTGAGTTTAATTAGTTTAATCCCAAAAGCAAAGCCCTAATTGGAGTATTGGACCATCAATCCATCAATTCTTGTTTTTATTAGCGAAAATTTTCCCATAAATAAATCACTCTCAGAACTCTTAATTGGGGTCATTCACAGTCCGTTTGCTTTCCTCTTCTCAACGTCACGAAACAAACAATCCTTACAAAGAAATCCAGAAATCGTTCAATAATTGTCATGTCTTTAAGTTGTTCTAGCTCCGGAACAATAATCCCACGTACCCTCGTGGGAAAAGGAAGAAGAAATAGGGGCTTCTGTCATTTAGAAGCACCGAGCTTCTCATCCTTCCATTATAAATTACCCCATAACTTATTAAGGCACATTGGGTTTGTATCGAAATCCGACCAGACTTGTTCTTCTACTTCTTCTTCTGTGATGGAGGAGGACCGTAAGAACCTGGGTTTTGTGTCCGAAGCAGAGGAATATTCGAAGGAATTGGATGTTGCTGTCAGAGCGGTTCAGATGGCTTGCTCCCTCTGCCAGAAGGTGCAGGAAAATTTGATTGTTAAGTCCAAGAGTGACAGTGAGGTCCATTCCAAGGACGACAATTCTCCAGTCACTGTTGCAGGTACATGTTTCTGAATTGGAATATTGTTTTGAAGTTCTATTTCTGATTTTGATGGAATAGTACTTTCTAAATTATTTCAAAACATGTTCTGTTATAGGCTAATAGGTTTAATTCAACCCATTTTTGCCGTTTGAGTTGCTTGTATATGTGCATTTAGTGTTATTTTAGCTTACGAGAAGTTTGGAGTGGACGAGGTTTCTGTGGCATGCAAGTGCAGGGACTTCAGTAGTGTGTATAAGTTCCATCCAAACACGTGTTACCTGATTTTCCAGGAAAGTTCTATAATTAGTTTATGGATAGAAGAAAGAAGTTCCTAAATTGCATTCATACTTAGTCTGTTCATCATAATATGCAACTTTGTTCATTTGCGGTCAGTAAGTAAAAGAGAAAATGAAAACTTTGTCTGCTACTCAGGGACAAATAGTTTAATGAGTTAAGGAGTTCTTCTGTCTTCTAAACTACTTTGAAGTCAAAGTCAAAATTTTTGGCTGGGAAACTGACGAGGTTTCCCGGGTTTTCGAAAGTTCAAGTTCCAGTAGAGGGGGGAAAATTATTGGTGAAACAAACTGTCTTCAAACTCTTTTCCTGGGATGTCTTTACTAGGAGTGTTTTTCTGATATATCTATAAAGCAGTTCTTGTTACCATACCATGTCACCTATTTTAGAATCTTGGGCTGAGTTGTTTGCTCTTCTTTATGTGTACAGAAGTCCAAGAAAAACTAAGTACCTGCTTAATCTAGATCCTCAAAAAGATAAAGAGGCATAACAAAAAATTTACGGACAAAGCAGAAAACTTAATACAAAATAACTCTTGCTTGTGTGCCAAGAATTATCGTTCTATTGCATAAAAGCAAGGCCATAAATCTCCCAGCCACAACAAATACCATATTTGCTTGCAACATAAAATTTATCCTGTGTGCTTTCTTTCTATTATTTTACAGTTTACACATGATGCCGTGATTGATCAGACTTTTTCTGTCAGCTTGTTGTATTTATTTTCATACTTTAAGATGCTGATCATTTGGGACTCTTTCATGTTGCATCATCTCTGTTAAATCAGATTGGAGTGTCCAAGCAGTTGTCAGCTGGATATTGTCTGAGTGCTTAGGAAGTAAAACTATCTCAATTCTTGCTGAAGAAGATGTTGAAACTCTCTCCAAGACTAGTTCATCTGCACTGTTGGAAGCTGTTGTTTATACTGTGAATGAATGTCTAGCTGAGGCGCCTCAATTCGGAGTTGAAGCCCCAAAATCAGCTCTTGGTGCTTCTGAGGTACTTGAAATCATCAGCCGCTGCAACTCGGTTGGTGGTCCCACTGGAAGATTTTGGGCGCTTGATCCTGTTGATGGCACACTGGGGTTTGTGCGTGGAGATCAATATGCTATAGCTCTTGCACTCATAGAGGATGGAGAAGTAATACTTGGAGTTCTTGGGTGTCCTAACTACCCAATGAGAAAGGAATGGTTAACCTATCATCATCGCTATCATAGGATTGTATCTAAGTTGACTCCTCCAACATCTGAAACTTGGGACAAAGGTTGTGTGCTCTATGCTAGAAAGGGAAGCGGCAGGGCTTGGATGCAACCACTGGTCCAGTTCAACAAGTTTGTGTGGCCAAATTATGCAAGAGAAGTGTCAGTTTCTTCCATTGACAATCCGGCGTTGGCAACTTTCTGTGAACCTGTGGAGAAGGCCAATTCAAGCCACTCTTTCACTGAAGGACTGGCCCATAGTGTTGGTCTCAGGTACATCTCTATTCGTCCCAATTGGCTTGTTTAACTTTGTGGGGTTTTCCTAGGCTGTATCAAGCCATAAGGGCACATGATTTATTTCCCATGCTCTTTTGATCTCTCAGAATAACCATGTTAACTTGGTGTTAAATGCACATTGAGTAACAATGGTGTTCTAAGGACATGATGGCAAGCAGCGAATCTATGTCTAGCTGTAATTTATCAATCATTCATTCACTTATATGCAGGAAGCAGCCACTGAGAGTGTACAGCATGGTAAAATATGCTGCGATAGCTCGTGGTCATGCCGAGGTTTTCATGAAGTTTCCTAGGTCTGGTTACAAGGAGAAGATATGGGATCATGCTGCTGGTGTCGTTATCATACAAGAGGCGGGTGGTGTGGTGACAGATGCCAGAGGCCGTCCACTAGACTTCTCAAAAGGTGCATATTTAGAAGGTCTTGACAGGGGAATAGTTGCTTGTGCTGGAGCCTCACTACATGAAAAGATCATAGATGCTGTGGATGCTAGCTGGGGTTCTTCTTGCCTTTGAGGCAGTTATTATAAACCTAATGTATATACAGAACGTACTAATATTTATCTTAAGCTTCTACAACATCAGATAAAGTGAGCCTTGTTTTTCTTCTGAGTGTTGTTACTGGTTTCAGTTTGTGAATCTGCAATTACTATTGTTTGGCATTATATGGATAATGAAGTCATTGTGAATTTATAATTCCATTACATTCCGAGTTCTGAATGACATAAATTTCAAATATCTTTTATGGACTTCTATACTACTGAAAATATATCCAAGCATCTCTGTTTCCTTATAGTAACCGAAACTTTTTCATGACAGATAAAACCCAGCCAGCCCTCCATGTCTCTAAATCTAAAGAAAGATGCTTCAAAAGATCAACTGGGGTTTGAAGTAACAATACCTGATACAGAGAGAAGGCACTGAAACATTATAAGAATTTTCATCTAAGGGATAGGTTCAAATGTATACAAAGGGAAAAATTTCTAACTCGGGGGATAGTTTCACTAATTATTTCGCGGTTTATGCTTCATCAATAGAGATGGATAGACCTACTTGGTAAGCCTATTCATGTTGAATTCAGATATTTGGGCACAGTCGTTAAGACCAGCTGTATCAATAGAGGAAGTAGATAGTGCAAAATAACAGATATAGTATTTCATAAAGAAGCCATAACATAAACTTTGAAGTAACCAAGACATTCACAAACAAGCAATGATCTCCGTTTGATCTGCATAATCAATTAAATATCTGGGAATGACACATAGCTGAAGTGAGTCAACAAATGGTGAGAGGGCGGCTTCTTCCTCTGGAGAAACACAGAACAGAAAAGTCAAAAACTTCATTTCTTGGAGTGACCGAGCAGTGTGACTCAGCTTTGGGATAAAACGGGCAATGTCTAAACCCTTCAGTTGACAGACATGAAGGAGGGAGGGTGATGGGTGGGTGGATGGTGGATTCGTTGTCATGTTAACAGTGCAAGAATCAGAGGCGGGCCCTTCCTTCAGCATTGGCCTCCTTGGTTTTCGACCAATTCAATGCTGTTTCTGTAATTATATCTGCATTGTTTTAGATTTATTTTAAAGGATACTTTAAATTTGTTGAGTGCCACTTTTTTTATTTGTAAGATGGACTCTTGACGTCATCGATCATTATATTGCGAACAAAATGTTAAGATCAAGATCAAGTTTTCTTTTGCTTCTTTTTTTTTTTTTAATGAAAATTATAGTGGCATGCAATCTGGATTAATAATACATGAATTGATGATTGTATTTTTTTTTCAAAAAAAAAAAACAAAGTGGTGGAGGAAGTTAAAGAGACTGGCCTTTTAGTGCAATTATAAAAGGAAATAGAACCATAAAGTGAAATGATAGAAAGATGCATGAATGTGGATCCCGTGACTCTATTGTGAATGTCAAAATTGCTGAAAAATTGGCCTTCTTGTGTGATGCCAGATGAGGGAAAAATGAAAAATTTCCACTCAACCTTTTCTTTTGTTTTGAAATCTACTACATGGTTAATGATCTGCTTTGATATCATGTCTTGTCGGAGCACGAAGAATTTGACAAAGTTTTCAATTACCTGTTTAAAGAGAAACAAAAATAGCTTTAATTCAATGTACTCCTCCCACCGTCCCTAAATATATAATATATAGTAAAATTATGCAAATCAAAGAGTCAGTTTGTGCAGTGCTCAAAAAAAAAAAAAACAGAGTTAGTTTGTGTTTGAACAAATTTTTTTTTTCCAAATCTGTTCCTAAAAAGATCTTTTAAAATATCATAAAATTCTAAACTATTTCTTATAAAAAGAGACAGACTGAGAGAGATTAAAAAATTATACTATATTTAGACTATGGTCAGCTAAATACTGCCGAGATATTAAATTTATTTTACTCTTATTTGTGAGCCATTTGAGCCTAATCCTTTTGTAATTGGGCTTAAGAGCCCACAAAACATCAAATGTTCGCCATATTAAAGGCTAATCAATACTGCATTGGGTTAATGCCTTTTAGTGGGGTATTTTTATAAAAATAAGGTTTAATAGAATGAAGCAATTTATATTGATATGGCATGGAAAGAAATAAAATGAACAGTTATATATTAGTTGGATGATAATATCCAAATAAAAACATATTAATATATTTTATTATCGCCTTTTAATTATTTTAAACATGTACTACTATATTTGATTTAAAAAAACAAAATATTCAGTTTTCAAGCTTTTAATTGTGGAGTCCAGTATTCAAAAATCATTAATAAATGCCGCCAGCGATTCGGTAGGGTTTGGTTATGCGTTGTTTGATGCAACCGGGTTTGAAAACATGTCCTCAACCAATGTTTTAAAAGCCGGACCAGAAGTCGAACCGGAAAGATCAACGGGTCATGGTTCAATCGGTCGGATCGATCAGGCCGTTTGGTCGAACCGGTGACGTAATAATTAATTTAAAACAATATTATATACATATAATTAGTATATATGAAAAATATCAAATTATTAAATAATTTAGAAATGCATTTAAATAATCTAAAATTATAATGAAATCATTGAAAAAGGACTAAAACCTTATATATTTAAATTTATGTATGTTTAAAATATTTAATGATATTACAAATTATCAATTCATTCAAATCAAAATATGTTTAAAAAAAAAGACCAAATATCAAAACAAAAAGACTAGCGACTCACGATTTTAACACCACAATATATGAAATTTTCAATGAAATAATACTATATGGTTATAAATAGTCTAAAAATATATTAGGATATTTAAGGGGATCAATTTTTTTATTTTTCTTCTATTTTTTTTAAATTTTTTAGTATTTTTCAGTCAGGCTAAAAAACCGTCCGGTTTTCTGAAAACCGTTCCGGTTCCCGATCCAACTCCGGTTTCCGGCTTAATAACGGCTCAACTCCGGTCCAATCCGGCTCAACTATGTGAACGGTTTTTTGGTCCAAACCGAGCCGTTAACGAGTCCGGGTGACGGTTCAACTGGTCTGACCGTCCGGTCCGGTCCGGTTCTTTAATCATTGTCCTCAACATTAATTCTTGATATGCTCAATGATCATTAATTAATATTGCTTCCCCGTACGTGCTACTACAGTTTGTTTTCTTTTCTTTTCTTATTAATTTTAGTATTTTAGAGATTTTATTATCGTTGTGATAAGATTTTATGTCTTCTTGTTAAGTCATTACTCTTTGAAATTATCACACGCGTACTAAAATTGCTCCGAAACTTATGGAATACTGGGCTGTTTGGAAGGGTTTAAAAAATCCCTGAATGTTTTATATAAGTTGAAACAAAATTCATTTCATATACTTGTCTTGTATTCTGTAAATGATTATTAAAAAGCTACTTATAAGCTGTTCCAAACAGGTCTATTATCATTCATGAATTGATATACGTTTCACATAAGTCGAGACAAAATTTTTCTCACATATTTACCTTGTATTTTATAAATTATAGTTAAAAAAACTATTTATAAGCTATTCTAACAGGGATGATGGCCTAAAAATGATATGGATATACTGATTTTCTTTTTTTTTTGTTGACAAAAGAAGTCTAGGTGAGTTAAGTCTAACAGAATAATGACATGACTTTAGACTTTGAGAGCATTTTTTCTTTGTAAGTCAAAGCATTTTTTTTTTCCAAGAAATTCAGAATCCATGACATTTGGAGGATTAATTGAACTTTAGTAGACACTCCCACCAATAAGATTTATTTTGTCATGTAAATTATACTATAAAATAGGTTTTATATTTAGAATTTGATGAGTATTTGTTTTTGTTTTTGTATTTGGAGACCAACGCTAGACTATATAATCGATATATGTGTGCGTAAAGTAAATATCATAAAACATGGCCCTATAAATTACAATGATCAAATATTCAAGCCTTCCCATGGTTAAAATAATCAATTTAGAATAACTATATTAGAAGTAATTTAATTTGTAAGTGTCTTAATAAATGTTTTTTGAGCTGAAATCCACTCGGTCCTTCATAGCCCTCAAAACTTAACTCACCGGCCAGCACTTTTCCTTAGGGAACAGTTCAACGTGAAATGAATGTGCCAAGGAAGATAAGCAAACGTAATTGGAAACTGAGAATTTATTGCATTATTAAGAAGTTAGGCCTATCATTTATTGCTTCCATGTTATCCTAGCTTCTCTCTATCGCATATTTTTATGAAAGTTAAGAATGACACATGCAAGGTGCCCGTTTGGCCACCTTTCAATGCATGTTTTCCTCCCTCCCTGCCCCCCAAAGTATGGACGTGATAATATGAGTTGGACTCGTAAGTTTAACCCATAAAAAATAGCAGGTTAGCCAATCCACCTGCAAAATACTCATAGGGTTTTTTGGCTCGCGCTGCATATATTCAACTTGTTATGAATCTATTGGTAAACTGCGATTGGCTTGTATTACCATCTTTACCCCACAGACAAAGACCATCCTTTTTTTTTTTTTTCCATAAGGCATCTCTAACCCTCTCAATAAAATTAAGAAGACTTGAGAAAGATTTTTTTTTAGTAACATACTCCTTTAGTCCTATTTATAAAACAGAGAGAGAAAATATTTTTTATCCTATTTATAAGTCATTTCATTAAATTTTAAACATGCAATACTGTTTCATTCTTCATGTATTATAATATAAATAATTATCTTTTTTAAAAGATGTATATATTAAATAGAGATAACATTGAAATTTTGTTATATTTTAATAAAAAGATAATATGTTTTAATATTTTTATTAGTACGTGTGAAATATGTTAAAAATACTTTATAAGGAGGACCTGATGGTAAGAAGTACATATCTATGTATGTACATGTATGGATTTGATTACCCTCTTCACCATCATCCTCACATTATTAAAACTCCTCTGCTCTCTCTGTGCTGACGGTTTCAACTCACTGTCCCTGACCATCACATGAGAATTTAATCCCTGTCTCCCTATGCATTCACTCATTAACTCACTTTCTGATCTTTCATCTTCTTCCTCCTGATGATTTATTCAATAAACTCATCTCAATTTTCTATAGTCGGTGTTAATTGACCCCTAAATTTACTACACCTCACCGGGTTATTGATTGCTAAACCTTCTCTATCCCACCTTCCCCTCTAGCCAGCTCCACCTGGAAATCAAAGTTGACAAAGTGGTGATACTTGAAAATTTGAGGAGTATCTCCCTCAAAAAAAAAAATAGAAATATATATGGAAAATCACAGACCAAATTAGAAAGCT